CCCCGCCGCCGCCGCCACCTGCGCCCACCAACGCACCGACGTCAATGCATGGCCTCCCGAACGAGGAGACCGGCCGGGAGCTTAGTGCTGATGCGGTGCTCCACTGGCGGGAGATAACTGCTTTGGAAAAAAACCCGCTGGCCGTTGGGTCGGGGCCGGATCTCGCCACTTAGCGAAGAAAGATCACCGTCACCTCCCGAGGAAAAAGGCATTCACTCAAGCACTACGCGTACGGGACTAATGACCTTAGCAGTTGACGCTCGGAATCACTAACAACCAGTCAATCAATTAGCCTCCTGATTGACGCCGCGCCCGAAGCAGCGGTACCGACGTCTCGATCATCGTCTCATAATATCCCTCAGACGCGATTTACCGCTTCCTTTTGACGACCGACTCCGGCATTTGACGTGAGGAGCGCATGCGCAGTGAGGCTTCAGTAACCTTAGAAATAACACTGCGCATGCGCAGGATAAAAAATTCTCATATTCTGGAATCGATAGCTACGCATCCGCCTGGGACCATTATGCTTCTTCAGAGACAATTATTTTCACTCTGAGGAAGGAAGCAGAATTGCGTCCGAAACGATAGCACCTGCACCTAGGACGTGGCGTTTCCCGGACAGACAAGTGCATGCTGTACTGACTCCGGCCGCGGAAGCCTGCGCTCTCACCGGTAAATCGGGTTTTCAGGGGGTGAAATGCGCTAAGATTTTGGCTACTGTTTATTGGCCTGACTTAGAACAACAATGTCCGTGGAATACCACGATACTATGCCACCCTGTCAGCAACGCTGTCTACGACAGGGCTTCTTCCGAGCCATACCAACGACTGGCTGCGGAAGACCACGTTAAACCGCTGTCCAAAATAGTAGAAAGGACGGTGAAAGGGATATTTGGTGTCAGTAGTCTCATCGACGATGCAGGGCTCCAGCAAGAGTTGAAAAGCAAACAAATGATTGTGGGAGTGCGTGTATTTAAAAAAAATTAATACAGTTAATTAATAATTTACTGTATCGACAGTGAAAAGCTGCATATTTGTACAAAACATTAAAAAAAAAGTTTTTTTGGCTATTCAAATTTAAAGATTTAATACGCCCTTTACATTTATCATGGTTACCTTAATAGTTATTAACTAACCTTCAGTTTAATTATAAGCGATTGTAAATGAATCTCAGAAAAGATCAATCGCTAGTTTCATACTAAAGTCTCGCCTATTTCAACGCAACTCTCGTTGCTTGAATGACCCATCGGCTGCCCATCTTGATCTCAGGCGCGGGACACTGATTTCAATCACGCAGTTTCGAGATTTAGATGTAAAATCTTTTGCAGCAATTCGTGGTGTGATTTTTAGTTTTAAGTGATTTCCACATTACAATGGAAATGCCATAATACTGCTTAAGTATATCACGTTTATTCCGGCCAAGACTAGCGAAGGTCCGAAAAGAGCATCTCAATGGGAGACCAGAAAAAGAGGAAGAAGAAGAAGAAGCGAAATTTGAAGGAGTGGCATGCCATCAGACCCCGCACGAGGAATCTTTGCACGCGCAAATGCGAGTGAGACACATGAGAAGGGAGACACTACGCTTGTGCAGTAGAGCACGCTACCGGGTAGCCCATTACGACCGAAATGGCAGAAACTTGACGTTTTCGGCACGGCAATCTGTGACGCCGTCTCTCTTTCATGCGAAGGCAAACGAGTGCACAGATACCGCGCGAACTGTCTTCCTATTCACCGATTAAAAGAGGAAGTCCTTTCAAGGTCACGAGCTGGCAGGACACTATCTTGGAATCGCGAGCTGCACTTCGACTTAAATATTTGGTATTGATGCTCCCGATTGGATAGAAGCGTCCCCTTTTCTTTTCAGTTCGTGGTCTTGAAAGGGCTTGGTGTTTTAATCGAAATGTTCGAAGGTTATACTTCGATTTAAACATAGGGTCTGTTGACGTAAATCAGATGTTACGGCGTCATTCAACCGAGAGCTTGGATAACACCTTCAGTAGTGACGTTTAACCTCCGGATTGGATGTCACTGTAGTAGCTGCTGATCTGTCAAAGGGCATTATGCGTAATTCGAAGTATAGGACGAGGCCGAGGCGCACCTGATCGCAAGGTGGCGGCGCGAGCAGCAAAGCGCTCCGCGGCGGGAGAGGGAGCAGCGGGGGCGGGGGCGGGCGCGGGCGCGGGCGCGAGCGCGGGGGCGGGCGACGCCCCGCGTACGAACAGCGTCTCGTAGTCGTCCTGGCCGTCGTCGTCCCGCGCGCCCTCGGGCCCCGCCCTCGGCCCCGCATCGGCCCCGGGCGCCGGCCCCGCGCAGCGCCGCCGACGGAACTTCTGCCACAGACAGCCAAGCCGTCCGTATTAGGCGGGAAGAATCCTTAATGAGGAGGGCAACCAACAAGCGACAATATACTACTAGGCGCGCACGTTTTCTTGATCTTCCAGCTCCTCCTAGTTCTCGCTCAGCCCGGCACAGCACGGCCCGGTAGTAAAAATATGAGTTCCACTCGGAACGTCACGGTTCAGTTCGCAGTCATACTTCCTTCGAACCACTTCGTCTTTTACAATATGGACATCTCAGTTTTCTCTCTCTCTCTTTCTAACGAACTCTGTGTACCATGCTCCTTGTGGTTACTTCAACAATTATGAATTATTTCTTCAGAATTTAGAAAAAAAATTGCGTAGTTTCTCATTGCTATCTAGTCCAAGACACGCTATGATACTGAGTTTTCTGTCGACGACGTTGATAGCACTGCACTGCCGTGACGTAGACAGAACCCGCCTCTCCCCGCATCCCCCGTTATGGAGAAATGTAGAGTAGCAGAAAAATTGCAAGTATACTACATAAGAGTGGCTGAAGCGCCTCCCGCTTTGCAACAAATTCAAGCCGTGTTTTTTACAGTCAAAGCAGCGCTCACTGGGAAACAGAGTATTCACATTGATGAATGGAGAATAGATTGTCATGGATGAATGTTAATCTACGGTATTCTAATATTCCATTTGGCTCTGGTTCAGGCCGGGGTGGGGATCGGGCCGCGCGTAATATAAATCCTCTTACTCTGTGTTTCACAACCACAAACCAATCACTTAAAAACGAAATCACATTATGTAAGGAGAACGAATTGAGAAACATTAAAATCACGTTTTTCCTGCATCGGTTATTGTCATAAAAATGCAAGCTGGTGAAATGGTTGAATGTGCGTCCCATCGGGATGTAAAGGGTAACCAGCTGTTGGCTCTCGACCATACTTTTATGCAGAATTATGCGAAAAGAACTCAAATTTCTGAAAAATTGCACAAGACTTTATTTCAAATTCTATTTTTAAGAAAAAGATTTCATTAAGAGAAAAATCTCTATCTTTAATAATGTAGTTGTAGGATGGCTCCGAATTTTGATCTTTTGCAATTTTCCGAAAAATCAAGATTTTCAACAAACATGAGACCTGCACCATTCTCTTAAACGTTCTTTACACAGTCCAACAACAAATATTAATCCAAACAATGGTCCCATTTTTTTGAACATGTGGAAAATTCCCAAAGGTTCCATGGAAAGTACCCCCAAAATTAAAATGTTTCAAATTCTAGGGGTCGCAACATCAGCCAGATCGATTGCGGAATATCATTTTGGCGAAAATAGAATGAACAGTTTTGCCGCTGGCGTTGGTTTGCAGTCGTTTTGCCGTCATTCAATTTTTCGGTACCAAGAACTCACAAAACATGGATTCTTGCAACACCACGTGTTAGATGATTTTTTTTTAAATTTAGCAACTGTATTTATTAACTTTTGATTTACCAGGGCTATGTAATAAAAGTTTTCCTGCCAGAAATGCGCAGTTTTTTTGTACAGCATTACATGACTTTCTGTCTACTTCATAACGAGAAAGTAAAAAAAAAACATAGCTACCTTGCTCTGCTTCCGGTCCGCGTCGTCCTTGTTCCTATTGCGCCGGCCGCCCTTCCGCTTGGAGGAGCGCCGCCTGCCGTCGCCGTCGCCGCGGTCGCCTTCCCGCAGCTCCTGGCGCCGCGCCGCGCGCCCCGAGTGCGCATGCGCGTCTGCGTCGGCCTCGTCGGGCGCGGCCAGCGGCCCCGCGCGCGCTTCGGCCGGGGGCTTCGGCTGAGGAGGCCACGCAGGAAGCTAGGCAGAGGCGCCGAAGAAATACATATAATTTATTATGCATGTAGTATTTGGCATTTTAGGGTCGGTGAGTTGGTTGTTGGTGATTCTGGGCGTATTAACTTAAATATGAGCTTTTTATTCCAAACATTCTCTGCGTTAAAGATGTCTCTATTTGTATCGAAACACGATATACTTTTCGGAATATGTTATAAAAACATTTCTGTAATACCTGATTTGTCTTCTCCTTTAATCCGCACTCAACTCTTTGCTCCTTTTCTTCCTTGTTTGACAAACAATCCCCATCGGCTGAAGGAATCAAAGTTTCCTCCGTCACGTCATCTTCATCAATCAATTCACCATCTTCTAAGTCCTCTCTCGCTTCGTTGCTCACACTGGAAAGTGAAAAAATAAAATAAAGATGGATTCGCAGAATAAAGAGTATATGAGAAAGGATGTAGGAGAAATGGGAAAGAGCATACGCGATTACATAAGGTTGCCAGGATATCTTTAATTAAATAATGTACTTCCAATCCAATTACATTTTATTTAAAAAAATCGCTCGAGTTATTTTCAATATATCATCCATTTTTGCGGCAAATACTCTGACACTAATTATTTTATGGTATAATGCAAATTTCGTTTTTGCCTGATATTCAGCAAACAGAGAAACTTATTATGCATTCAACAGACCCTTAGGCTGCAGAAACTAATTTTACGAAGGAATACAGGTATTTCCATTACATTATGACTTCTGCTCTCTAGATTGGATTAACTGCCTTTGAGATGTATTAAATAATTTATTATTATTTATTGCTTCCGAAAATAAACAATTTGTAAAATGATATTCAGGATCAAGAAATTTTTGACACCAACTGAATAGTGGCGAGGTCAGCTATTGCCTGGATGGGAATTTGAGGGGTCGGTTGCGCTGTTTTGAGCAATTCTGGAAAACATTATCTCCGGGTAAACACAAGGGACAAAACGGCAAGCGAAACTTCTTTGGCAACTTTGATACCACTTCTGTCTTTAGGGAAGGCCGGGACTTTACTAACTTACTCCTGGAATTTAAACTTCAAAAACTTTAAAAATATTTTTTGGGCTGATAATGCTGTGATAATATTTATAATTTTTCTCGGGTAAAATCATTTTGACGAATCAGTATGAATAAATAAATAGGTTCTTATATTAATGAATAATTCTAGGCTGTCAGGGAAAAAACAAAGTCAGAAAATGGTCAAAATAAGTTACGTCGACGGTCTGATCCCTGAAAGGAAGCGTAAAGAGTTCGATCTTTTCCTACTTTCAATATAAAGCTCTTCCGGATAATTATGAGTTCAAAACATAGTTGTTAATAAAGGGCAAAAAGTTCTTCCTATTATTTGTGCCAAGAAAATCAATAAAAGATCTCTCCTGGAAAATGTCATTTTTTGACTTACACTCGTTTTCCCTAGCAGCCTAGAATTTACACCTTGAATAATTTCAAATCTTTATCGAAATTTAATGTAATTTGCCAATCTTTCGTGGTGTAGGGATACCAACTCGATTGCGCTTTGCTCTCTCAATGAGCCCCAGAATGAATGCAATGATAGTGTCTTCTGTACTTTGGGGCTACGAACAGACTTTTATTCCTCGGCGTCTCAAACAAGTTTCAACGTGCATAGGCATGTAAGACATGTTTGCAGACACCATTTCGTAAAAAGGCAAAAAATGATGTAGGGAAACACCCTAAAACAAGTGCGAGCTACTTAAATACTCAAATGCAGAATATGACAACTTAGAAAAATGCAATGTCAAATCATGAGTACCGAAGTCCTTCGTAATCAGCAGCGCTTCCACGCCACTGCATACGCATGTCAATCACAATCAGAACTTAGAACGAAAAATTCAGTGACATCGCGTGCACGGGGTGGTTTTTCATCAAGGAATGCAAACGAGACAAGTTTCAGAATCCTAAACAGAGAAGGCATGGACTAACGAATTATTACAATCATCGTCGTTATCTATCGTCAAAGACGAAGAGAATGGCAATGCAGGAGCGCCATAAAATTCAAAGCTTCTACAACCACAGCATTCTTTTCAGAAAATCCTGTCACTTCAAATAGACACACATTATTAAACGAAGATTCACAAATACGAAGCAGGAGAGAGTACTAAAAAGCTAGGAGGAAAGCAGTTTCTCTTATTGTTTACGCTGGTCAGTGGTGGAATTATAGCATGTTGGTCTATATTGATACAATCCTAACCTGATGCTGCGGTGGTTGCTAGGTAACTACTTCGTAATCACAGGACTCAAAATATGAAGCACAATTGAATCGAAACAGAAACACCAGTAGTTAACATGGCCATTAACAGTTTGGCAGTATTTTAAAAGGGGTAATTTCTGACTTGTAACGAATAATCACAATAAAAAAGTACCAAAATTAAAATTACTTTTATTTCATTACGTTAGTTAATTCTCTTCGCGTATGTACGGAATGAGTTACTGAAAACCTAAGTTGCATGTAAAAGGAAACTGAGTTACTAGGAAAGCTTAAGTACACTTTCATCTCCTCAGAATCAATTTGGAAATAATCTTAGAGACAATAAGAGCGTATTGAATGTTTCCAATTTAGTATTTTTTGTTCTGAATTTTAACCACTATTGGTTTTGGAATTAGTTGGCAATTTATGTGCACTGCGAAAAGTATTAGCAAAGAGAAAACTATTAAACAAATTTATTTAAAAATTATTTCAGAGGATTTTCTAAAATTTCCAAGGATTTAGAAAGTCCTTAGAATGTATTTATGTGCTTATTGTTGGTACAACCTCAAAAGAACTCGCATTACACTTTTATTGTCGCCGAATCGTGTAATTTATATTAATGTCATTTCACTCTGTTCACTCTATTAATCTCATTTCACATGTGAACAAAAAGTAGTTCATATGTGATTTTTCTTTAAAAAAGTGTTCGAGAAAATGAGAAACTCGCACAAACATTGTATCATCACAAGCAACGAAATTATATTTTACACCATCTCCTCAATCCATGCAACCATTTTTCTATATTTTCAAAATCATTCCTTCCGTTAACCGACATTGAATAATTGTGACGCCAAATAAAGTAAATGTCGGAAGGACAGAACAAAATAATAACAAAATGTTTTGTTTTAGAATTTTGCTTGACCATCCCTTACGGAGACTAAGGAATGCTTGAGAAGAAACTTCAGAAACAAAATTTATGACAATTAAATACACAGCCACCAGAAATGAGACGGATACAACATATTGGAAGTAAGAATCGCATAAGATATTCTTGAAACGATTTGCACCTGCAAAACCGTAGGAATCGTAGGGAGACGTTTGAAAGTAACAGACAGTAGCGTAATATATCTAGAAGGCACCGACAAAAAACGTTTACCGGAATTTAAAAAATATTCAACTTATTGGAAAGTGCTGTTAGTAGAAACTTATTTCACTAACACAGGACTAGGATAACCTAAAGCCCAAATCACATGTGAGCTATCGATCGCTCGTCAATGTTGTTCATTCAATATTGATTTTATCAGTGATGTTTAAAGAATGCAAACTCTAAAATGTGTCCATTTTATTCGATTTAAGGGATACTCTGGATGTTTCAATGGCAAAAATGCAGATTTAAGATATTTTTGCACATAAAATGACTAAGTTATTTTGACAATATGATTATTGTTTACATTATTTTAAGTATCCCAAAGGGAAAACAATGAAAATATATCGATTTTTGTGGAAATTTGTCTAATGACTTATGAAGATGGTTTCCCTCAATATTTACGTGATAAATGCTGGGTATCCATCGGGTGTGATTATCTCTCAAAGCAGTGAATATTAATTGTTTTGTGGTAAAAAACTGTCTTTATTTTTCTTCATCCTTCAAGAAGAATTTATTTATTACTGAGCTAGAGCAAGTTAAATGTTATGTTGGCGTTTATACCGAAATTTTGACTACAGCTTAAATGTATACCAGTGAAAAATTTCATATCAAATGTTGGAGAAGGCTCCGATATTTAAAAATAATGAAGAAATATATTTCTCCACTAAAGGGTACTTCTATTCTGACTTCAATTAGACTATAAATCAAAAAACTTGTTTTTCAGAGAGGTTGGACATGTTCATCTATGCACATGTCGGTGTTGCAACATTGATGCAACTGCCGTCTCACGAAAAACATTCCACCAAGAGAACTCTTATCCGTACCGCAAACCCCGCTTCATCTTGATAACCACTACGTATTATTTCTAAATTTTGAGTTACGCCATTGTTGCAGCAGGTGAGGTGTGAGACTCCTGCTGGGTTGCCTCAGTGAATTTAGTAGTCACTTAAGACAGTGATGCCAAATGTAACTCAATGCACCATGAACTTTACAGTACATACAATGCATGAAAAGTTCCAAAATAATATCAAATCCAAATCTCCAACTGGAGAAAACTGTAAAGGGTATAAAATCGGTATCATTTTTTCCGAAGCAGTGCCCTTAGAAGGGACATAAGGAAACATGGCTGTCCCCATTCGAAGAATCGGATCAACTGTCCTTCGAATTTTTTAAATTTTTTTCCGAAAATGTTTATTCGTAAGAAATTATTTTTCGTAAATGATTATTGTTACAGTTAAAAGCATATATGTTAAAAATTAGGTAAAATTTCATTGAAAGAAAAGTAGGAGTCTATTTTACGTTTGACATGCAACAGAAACGATATGATGCCTACTAAATGGAAAAATTGTATGAATTACACCCCAAATATAATGTTTATTTCATAAATGGTAGTATATATTTTCAAGTTGAAATAGAAAACATTAACGAATACATTAATTATTGCAAAAGTAATTCAGTAAGACGATGAAATTAAATATAATCTAATATTTCATAGAAAGATAATTGTACGTAAATCTGGAAAATTTTCACTGAATTTTAGAATAGCGGAAGTACTACAATTTTTCAGATATAAATCCTGAATTCAACGTGGTTAGCGAAACTTGCGTTTGGACTGTTTTAGTATTTTCATCAGTATGTTTTTAAGTTTTATGGTAACCATGAGACGATGGGCAAATGTTTGTTACAAATGATAGATGTGATTTATACAATATTTCGTAACATTGGCTCAATTCTAAAACGATGGAAATGTCAAGACGTAAGCTTTTCAATGCTTGGGCTTTTGTTCAAAGAGCAGATGCGTGCTCTGTCAGCGTACATACCGTTTAATAAAACATTGTTATGAAGCACAGTAACTGCCATGTTCACACTCGTAATAGTGTTGTTCTCATTCACTGAATATCAACGTATTTTGAAGCATGTGTTAGAATGGCAGTTAACGATTGGGAAAATTAGTGGGATACCGAAAAATTACATTTGTGAAACTTTGATACGAGCTTGGTTAAT